ACAGGTATCATCACACACCCCTCCCCACGCCCCCCCCCATTTGCCAGTGAGGAGACAAGAAAGGGAAAGTGACCGCGAGATTGGGCTATTTTTAGCCGTGGAGGTGGTCAGTAATAATACTTCTCCTATAAATAATTAATTTTAAATTTATTTTTTTACAAGGAATATTCAGTAAATGACTGCATTAATTCTTGAAACTACTGACAGTTAAATACAGACGCTTAAGTGACATCACTAGTGTTTACACTACACCAGCTGGTAACATTTGATGCCATTACTTGAAGTGAATTGGCCTTATTTTAAGTAACTAACCATAAATAAATACAAAAAGTAAAAAAAAGATCAAAAGTGAGAAATAATATACTGTATGTATGTTGTGTTGTCAAAGTTAGAGGAACAATTCAAACTGCAATTGTGTGTAAATGAGGCAGAAAGTCAGGCCAGCGCTGAACCTGGGACTTGGTCACAATTTTCGTGATGCCATATGGCAGCAGGGTCTACCATTAGACAACACATTATGCTTCCAATATCTTCCCAGGCGGTAGTATCTACCTGCTTGGTAGCTGCCTACTACCTACACAATTTTTAGTAATATTACTTTGATACATGATAAATTAGACAATGAAAATAAACATCAAATTTAATTACCAAGACGCTTCCCATTGGCAGCTGTAAGAAGAGGGGGAGATGGGCTATTTATAGCCCGTCTTTGTGTCTGAAGTGACCAGTACCCTAATGCACCATAAATAATTCATTTAACATTTATTTTTTGTACATATATTTAGTTATATCTATCTATCTATCTATCTATCTATCTATCTATCTATCTATCTATCTATCTATCTATCTATCTATCTATCTATCTATATATATATATATATATATATATATATATATATATATATATATATATATATATATATATATATATATATATATATATATGTATGTATATATGTGTATATATGTATGTATATATGTATGTATATATGTATGTATATATTTTATGTATGTATATATTTATGTATGTATGTATGTATGTATGTATATATGTATGTATATATGTATGTATGTATGTATGTATGTATGTATGTATGTATGTACAATCCGAAAGGGATGATGGATTAGTTGGAAGTGTATCCGTAAAGAAAAACAAATATTTACTTTATACGTTACGTCAATGTTTGGCAACTATAGTTTCCGTCACGACAATATTCTCATTAGGCTGGGTCGGGGAGTGAAGCTCTGCTCACTACATTGAATATTATTTATCACTACGCGTCAAAGAGTACATTACAAATCATACTAGCATAAAAACACACTGAGTGAAGCTCTGTAATTATCGCAATATTAAGTAACACTAACCACCGATTTCGAAGCATAACTCACAGGACAAAACATATGGGGATTGGTGGTCACACTGGACGGTGCGAGGCGGGTGGAGGCGGGGCGGGTGAGGCGGAGCGGGTGAGGCAGGGCGGGTGAGGCGGGGCGGGTGAGGCGGAGCGGTGAGGCAGGGCGGTGAGGCGGGGCGGGTGAGGCGGAGCGGGTGAGGCAGGGCGGGTGAGGCGGGGCGGGTGAGGCGTAGTTAAGTGTAGTGGGGAGGAGCCGAGGCGTGGTTGATCGGGCCAGGCCGGGGCTTTGCGGGGCGGGGTACGGAACGGCGGGGCACGGAACGGCAGGGCGGGGCAGGGATGGGAGGAAGGGTAAGGAGGGTGAGGTGAGGATTAGGACAGGGAGGAGGATGTAGGTTAAAAGACATGTTAAGTTATAACAGTTAGTACAGACACCGCTTTCATCACTGAAACACAATTTCTACGTTCAACACTGACCAACAATCAAACTGCACTTGGGCTACTGAGAATGTCACAGATCGCGGGGGACACTGAGAAATCACGTTAAGCACTGAACATATTTCTAGAAAAAATTCGCGCATACCACAACGAGAGACATTTACTTGAGCTGTAACGGTGACACACTAGGACACTTTTCACGCTACTATGCAGGAACTCCTTATCACGCACTTTCGAACAATACTCAAAAAACGAGCCAGGTGTTATGGCTAAATGAGGGAGGGCATGGGTTTACGTTAAGTACACTGTTACCAATAACAAGGGACGAGGAGGGCGTGAGTTAACGTTATAGTACGCTGCCACCAATATAATGAGGCACTCTGATAGTATAAGAGTACTTGTACTCAAATGTACTAAATAATTAATTAAAAATTTTATGTCTAGTGCAAACTATAGCATGTTTATATCAAAATTAATCACTGTCTTACAATAATCCCAGCAATGTAAGTTATATTCTCCCAGGTGAGTTCAGTGACATTTTATAAATGAAAAACAGATAAGACACACGGGATTAATGTCCCCCCGCCCTCCTCCCCCGGCTGGTGAATACCTCACCTCGCCTCATCCCCCACTCCTCTCCCCTGCCTGGCAGTCAACACATCACCTCTCTCTTCCCAGGGGTGAAGGTGTGAAGGTAGTTTTAGGCTTAAAATTTTTATCTTATAAAATGTCACAGACTAAAGTTAGAACATAATTTGCATTGCTGGAATCCTTGCAAGATAGCGAATAATTTTAATGTAGACATTACACACCTCAAATAAGGGATAAGGGATTGTGGACCTGCATTACATTACAGTAATGATTTATAAGTTATAGTGTATCTGGGTAGACTCTCAGTCGGGGCAGGGGGAGGGCCAGCATAAACTAATAAAAAACTAAGTTGAGAGGAAAGTGAAAGTGCTTGGTGAGTCAGAAGATAGGTGGGTGGTGTGCAGCGCCAGCGAGACCACCCGCTCACATCAGCTGATTGCTAGTAAACAGACCATTTCGCATCCCGAAATTTTAGCTGTGTTGATTTATGAGTGTGTTTTAGCATAATACAGAACTACAAAAAACAATGTTTTGTTTATTCTAGGAGAAGGGCTGAGGTGCATCTGGGTAGACTCAGTCTTTTTAGTATTTTGTGTTTCTCTCAAGTACCAAGCTAAATTATTCCATTGAAACAACACTTCGATTTAGTGCGAATTCGGTTTAAAGCGACCTTTCTTGAAAGGTATCTCGTGTTATATCGACGTTCTACTGTGTTCAAATATACATGATATATGTACTTGTTACCGCAAGCGGTACTGAATTATGATGACACATAAACAAACGTTATGTTAGGCTGTAACTCATGTCATGTATATTGGGCGTGCCTGCCCGTATAGAGTATATTAGTGTTGAGATGGAAGCAGATGAGAGACCCAGGGTAGGTTGAGGTGTTGGGTGGTGGGAGGTGAGCTTGTTTGCGTATAATAAGCCTGAAGCAGCGACTTTGAATAGCTGGTCTGATCACGTGATGCCCAGCAGGGCACCGCCCGCCAGCCTCACTGTAGCTATCCCCATCACACCACCAACACCTAACCTGTTTCTCCTGAAGACTTTCAACACGTAAGTTTAACTTGTATTTATTGTGTACACAGGTAGACTGTGTCCATTGTATCGTATATCATTGTGACGACATAAAAATATGGCAAATTAAGTACTCATTGTAAGTGTTAAGATTAGACTAATTACGTAGCTATGTTTGTTATGTAAATATATATTGGATTAGACATTTATGTGATTGCCTATGTATGATTTATTTGAAATACTAAAATGAATTGTATTCAACAGATTTGACCTAATTATAATGTTTGAGTTTAACGTGACGAGTCTAATTACATCCTTTAACCGCCCGGACGGCGGTTACAGTATTCATATATCTGTGTGATATAGATTTATACCATTATGAGTGTTAGTTATAGGTAGGGCAGTCTTCAATGAGGATGACACATCTCATACACCAAAATGAGAAAACTGCTGTAATAAATGATGTGCACCCTTCCCAAGATGTGCTTATGAGAAGTTCACTGCTATGATCTGTTAACTCACACCAGTGTGGAAAATGGCCATAAAATGGTGATAATGATGATGATGGTAAATCTCTTTTTCTCTTCTGTTTATAAACTGTCTGCACTACAGGGTTGATCTGGTTTAAATTAGATGATTTTAATGCAACTGAATTAAACTGACTTTGAGAGAATAAAGCTGGAGAGGCTGTGTGACACAGCAGAAAATAAAAATTAGAAAAAACTTACCAAGTCTTGATTTCTCTGAGGTCTATAAGGGCTGCCTGGAGCTGACCGAGTCCTGTACGAACACCATCTAACTGACTCTGCATCGCTGTCTTCAACATGGCCTCCACTGATGCCTGAGGATAGTGAAACAATGAGTAACTGGTCCTAAAATCCCATTTTATAAACAAATAATGACTGGGTGACTCATGTAGAGTTAACACATCTACAGTTTAACAACTTAGGGGTCCCAGGAGCCCTGACATGGACATAGTCTCTGAAAAATGGGTACAGTACAGTACATGTACTGTACTTAAAGGGGTCAGCTTCCAGATGAGAAAAAGCTAGCAAATGTCATGTACTGTGCAAAGGCACATGAGCAATGCAATCAATGTTGTCATTTGTTGCAAACTGAATGATATGACTGCCTTTCCCTGTCATTGTGAAAAAAATCCTTCCTGTGTTTGATTATTAAGTGAGGTATCAGAATCAGTCCCACATTTATAATACTGTACAGGAGGTCCTCGGGTTATGAAGACGTTCTTAAGTCGGAAATGTACGTAAGTCGGAACACCTACCCTATCTATCATAGCCCAAGTCCTTTTATACATCTCCAATCACTTAGTTTAAGAGAAAATAAGAAATTGAATGACAAAATATAGTAAAGGAAACTAATAAATAAAGTTTAACACTTACATTGAAACCTGGGACAGGCTTGCATGTAGAGATGGGCATTTGTAGGAGTGACAGAGGCTTTATTGGGGTGGTGGAACTGAAACTTCCTTCTTTTTGTCATAAATCTCTCTGTAGCATCGTTGATATTCAGTAATACTTCTATGAACCTTGGTGAATCTTGCTGTGTTGGGATCTTGCTGTTTAAATTTAAACAATCCTTCTTCAATAAGCCTGAAGTCTTCTGCCATTTCCTTTGTAATGAATCCCTTTGGCTCTGGAGTTTCAGCTTCCTCTACATCCTCTGACAAAATTTGCTTCTCCATTTTAAACAGGTTTTCATTGCTTAATTCTTCAGCATGAGACTCAAGCAACTGTGTGTCATTATCCTCATGAATATCAAGCTGGAGTTGGTTCTCAAGGTCTACCACTGTCTGTGTCACTTCTCCAACACCATTTTCAAAGCCCTTGAAATCGTGGACAAAATGTGGGTAGTGTTTTTTTCCAAACACCATTTGCCCCAACCTTGAACTGATTAAACCAGTCCCTACTAGCAATAAAGTCTTCCCCATCACTTTCACCACCACATTTAGCCTTCAAGTCAACATGCAAGCTTCTCACTTTTTCCTGAATCAAGGCTGGACTTAGAGGCAAATCCCGTTGATTTTGATCTTTCACCCATGTCACTAAAAAAATTTCCATTTCAATGGACGAGTTGTCGATTTTGAGTAAACACAAGAAATACACTCTGCCACATTCGTAGAGTGATACGGTATGCATATAATTTGTAATAAAGGTTTAAAGTCCTGCTATAATAGTCGAGATATCTTCATTTCTATAGATAAATGGCTGCCATTTACAATGACGTCACCACCTTCCCTGTAGACGATGTTCTCCAACAAACTCACCGCTGCAGTTGGAGGTAGTACAAAGGATGGTCTCTTCAGACCCCAAATGCCACGTCCAGGTAAGTTTTAAGGGTGTTTTTTTTATGGTCTAAGTCAGTGCTACTCAAAGTGTGGTCCGTGGACCGGTGCCGGTCCGTGAGCCATCGTCTGCCGGTACGCGGAGAGTTTTCAGAAAAGAAAGAAACGATAGTCACGTTCCACACCACGTGACACTGACGGGACATCTGACTCGGTCTTTTTTTTTTTTACATTTTCATTGTAGTTTTTATATTTATTATGGCTATATTTTTCATTTACTCACTCATGTTAAAAGTCATTGCTATGCAACTAACGAATGCGATATCATGAACAGCAAAACAGCGAACTGAAATACGTATAACAACACCTTCATGATGATGTGGCGTTTGACTCTGTGGGAACCACACCTGGGGATATCAATAGGGCGCATCACCTTGTGTTGCCAGAATTGCCACGTTTCTCGGCCACCAGTTACGCCATATCCACCCAAAACATAAATCTTTTTATTTTAAGTATGGTAGTTATTTAATTTCGGATAAAATAAATGTATGCATCCCATTAAAAGAAATGGCCGATTTTTTACTATGCGTGCCAGCCGTGAAGGGTGTCACACAGCTGGCAACCCTGCTATTCCACACGTGTGGATCAGCAGTCTGTGATGTCAGGTCACAGGTCAGTGGTTAGTTACCATCAAGAAGTGGAACAGAGAGCATCATACGGGTATCTGCGTGTTTGTCATTTGGGACCCCATCCCAATCCACTTTTATATTCATTATATTTTTCCTGTATAAAATAATATTACTACGAATGTTCAAATAATATTTTCTCTGATCGTAAACAATTAATTGTATGGCACAAATATGGTACTGGTCCCTGGCACACTGGGAAGACTTGTTACGTCAATGATGATTGGCCTTAGAATGAATAAGACATCATGTCTTCATGTTTAGTACAGATAGTCTCAAAATGCCCCTGAAATAGGACATATCTCAAAAGATTTTCCTTGGGGGGGGGGGGGGCCTATAGGCCCCGGGATTGGCTCGCTTCGCTCGCCGGTCCGTGGCACATTGAAAAAAAACCATGCCGGTCCGCCACATCAGATAGTTTGAGAAGCACTGGTCTAAGTCATGGACATTTCGTAAGTGAATGAAATGTGCCATGAAGAGCAGCTTATGGACATAAAAACTCCCATGTTCACACCAGCTCAGCTGTCATGTACTCTTACCCGGTAGACTTTCTCTCTTTTCTTTTTCAGTGCATTTACAGAGTATATCAGTACTAGATGGGGATACAAGTCAATTTAGAAATAATGACATTGTCTGAACTTTGTTTTGATAATGCCTGATGCTATGTAAACATGACAACATTGTGCTGTTATTATTTTGATGATTCACTCATGAACCACTGGGAAATATCATAATTTATATTAATTAATGGGTAAACTTTTACTTTAACACTACCATAAGTATTTGGATGCTTAGATTTGAAATAGGCTATAATGGGTATATTTTAAGTTTTGGTCATCCCTGTAATTAGACATGCAGACTATGTTTTTCTGATGGTTTGCGATGTGTTATGAACGATTTTGACCTTCATTTCTATCAGAAATCACTGGTTTTGAGCTACTACCCCCCCCCCCTTACCGATGTATGTTTAACTAATCTTATAACTTATCATACCTAACCTAACATATGATGTGTATTTTCTTATGCGATCGAAAAATATTTTGCGACAGAAATCCTGTAGAGATAATGTGTCTTATTGTTTAAAGTACTTAATCCCATAGTTAGAATTTTAAGGTTCCCCAGTGATGAAAACTTCCACGTTGGAGTTATCGGTCCTTTGCATCATTTTGGCACCCATCAAGTAAATACACACGATGATACTTGAGCAGTAATTTATTTTAACCTAAAAATAAGGTATGCCTGTACGTGTATACAGCTACTCCCCGACTTACGACCGCCTCAGTCGTACCAAATTTTTTCAAATTACAGTACGTATTTTCGAGTCCCAACGTCAGTGATTGCGCTGTGTACTGACAAAATTTTTGTTTGTAATTCACTTTAAAATGGCTGGCAAGCTTAAAAGTGAGAGTTTTGTGGTGCTGAGAATAAAAAGAGACACCCATTTTAGATTTTCTATGTATTATTTAAGCATTTTCGACTTACGACCTGGATTTGGGTCCCTAACCCCATCGTAAGTCGGGGAGCAGCTGTATATCAACATTGTATATGGCCACATGTCCTGTATTTCTGATGGTAACAACACAAACACCACAACTGGCTGCCTCCAGGCTCCCTCTCGGCAGCTCGAGCCAACTTGTGACGTCACAACCAATCACAGAACTTTTCGAAGTCACGTGACTTATTAGCAACTTTAACCCTTATTTTTTAAACTTTTTGGCCCAATTTTTTTAAGAATATCATTACCATAGTGAATTTAAGCATTTCCTTTACCCATTGACCTGCCATCCTATGAAAAAATTCCGACCGACAACTCGTTCATTAACAATACATTTTTTTGTTTTGTTATCACAGTTGAGTGCATCAGGGATGCACAACATGCGGCCCTCCAGTAGTTCTGTTGTGGCCCTTGGTGTCTTGTGTAATCAAGACTGTTGAAATACAAAAGTAATATGAAATAAAACTGGGACTTGAGGCAATAGGAACAATCTTTACCTTCAATCAGTTTACACTTACAGTTTTTACCAGCTATACTGAAAAGTTTATTTGTCTTTCATTTTTGCATTGCATTTTACTGAGAGGTAATAACAATTTCAAATTGACTGTAACAGTTTGGATATCAGAGTCAGCAGCAGGTCCAAAGGTGGACGGGAAGTGAACGTGTTGATCAGAGAGCCAGGCTGTCTAGGCGGGAGCACTGTTGCCCAGTTATGTTGATTTTATCTCAGTATTATGTCATCTTCAACATATTCTGCAATGCAGAATTCGTGATTCGAAATAGGCTAAAGGACGAAAATTTGCACTCTGTTTTGCGACTGGCAACCACAAAGTTTGACCACAAACATCACATTAAGAAAAACTTGTCACGTGATATGACGGGTAAACACTTTGTTTTTAATCATTATTTTTTATGGTAATACACTAGGCCTTTTTATAAGGTTACAGACTAAAATTAATTACATGTGACAGCAAATTCTTGGTTATATCTAGTCTAAGTAAAAGCATTATATATGATTTAAAAAATATAATATATGTGTATTTGAGTAAAGAATTTGAATATGTAATTCAAACATCTAATTATGGTGACTCATAAATCTTGCGGCCCTCGCTTACGAGTTAGTTTGGTGACGTGGCCCCGGGAAGCTAAAAGGTTGTGCGTCTTGGTGTAGATTCTTTTCCTTATTCAAGAATTTTCTGTTTGTCTTTCAAAATTGTTCCGACCGTTGAGCGACTGAAGCCCAACGCCTTAACGATCACTGAGTGTGTTTTGCCTTATCCAGAACGTTTAATTACATCAACTTTCACTTCCATTGTAATTGTTTTCCTTTTCTTGGATGCACTACTATCACTTGCATCAGGTTTGTGTTTGGGAGCCATGATGAGGGCAGAAAAAGAGAGTTAATAAGCAAAAAACAACAGTTGGCACTTGATCACACACACACGTTAAGGTGGTGAGGGTAAAGGGTACTGATGCTCCCTCAAGGTGTGTGGCTGGGTGACGCATCACTCCCCATCCACCGCTCCACCTCGTCTCTATGCTGCGCAAACTAGTTCTCGTACGTAACTGCTACAAACCATTATACTTATGTCAGATTTTTTAAAGAACTGACCTTATGGGACCTTGTTCGTATTGGCGGGGACCACCAGTACTGTACAATATATGAAATGGAACAGCCAACTTATGCACTGTATATAAAAAGCTGGTTAGTTCAGAGAGAGGAACTGAGACAATAAGCCCCAGGAGTTAGTATGATTCATACCAGTTGTCAGGAGTTAAGTTAAATAATGACAGGGTCCCAAGAGCCACATAATCCAGAGCCTTTATGATTTCATCTATATAGTGGGAGATGAATGCCATCACAGACACCCCAGTTCCCTTTTGAAGGACAGACCTCTAATAAACTCCTCAGAAGACAGGCATAGGGTGAGATCCAAACTTGTCAAAATACAGTATTATATACTGTACAGTACTGTACCTTCTTTCGTTGAACTCTTCTCCTGTACTGATCAACCTTCTGCAATTGGTCTGGCCTCTGTAGCATATTTGCCACAAGCAGTGTAGCTCGGGCAACTGCCTCAGATTCTGCCTCTCCAACATCCATGCTAGAAGACCTCTGTGAAATAAATGATGAATTAAAGAATAAAATCTGATTTAATGCTTGAGCAGAGGAAATGAGTGACCATTAAATTTCACACCACCTGTTGCCCTCTCTGCGCCCTTCAGAAACGGCAAATAATTTAACAGTCAGTTCGGTATCCTCGGAAGGTAGATACGACAGGAGAAATGGCTGGGATAACCAGCTACTGTACCGAACCAAAATGATACTTTGTGCACTTTGGTTCTTCCCTTTGTTTTACTTATAAATAAAGACACTGCACTGCTTGACAACACCATCTTTGCACTTCAATGTTTACATGAGTAGGAACATAGACATTAATGCCTCTGTTTTACATTCACTAAAAAACAGCAACTTTAGAAATTTTGGTATAAACAATAAGTTTTTTTTTCCTTTAAGAATATCCCTCAAAAGAAAAAGAATTTAATCTTTTTATAATATTAGTTTGGAGATACAGATAAACTTTTACCAGCCTCTTCATTCCCATAGATATGAATACTTCCAGGTTATACTATTACATATGGTTAAGAAGGATTGGTACTAGTAGGTCAGGTTACGTAGGCTAGGTTGTTCATACAGATTTCAGTATGCTTTTTTTTTTTTCGGGGAATAGCCCACCAGGGCACAGGTCATCTACCCACAACAGGGCCTAGGGGGCAAAAAAAAAATAAGAGTAAAAAGAAATTAAAAATAGAAAAGAAAAAGATTATTATATTAATCTACACCATGAAAATGACAGAAAACCAGCTTTTTGAAGTGAGACATTGTATGGGTATGGAAACACAGAAGAAGGCAGAGCATTCCATTTGGCTGTGTGAGGAAAGAAGGATGTACTATACTGTAATGGGTTATTCTAGTATGACAGACATCCACAGAGAAACTGTGAGCACCTCGGGCAAGACAAGTGTTACGAGCCCACGGCCTTGCCAGTGGTACACAGGAAGCCAAATCCACTGAACATTGCCCATTAAAGTACCTGTAAAAGAGAGAGCGAGTGAAACAACATTGCAGTGAAGAGAAAGGGAGAAAGATTATCAACTAAAGGAGGAGAGTTAATCACATGATTTAAATCGATTTAAATCAAAATAAAAAAAATCATGATTTAAATCAAAATGATTTTTTTTCTAATAACTGTTTTCTCTTTTTATTCTACAAGATTGAAAAGTATATGCAATGCAACAGGCTAATAAAATTATTTGGATTTACATAATTATGTACTGTACTATTAAGAATTATTCAGAAGAACTTAGTGGGAAAACATTTTGCATGGCCATGGAGGGATGGAGTAATGTCCATAATGAGCCTATAGTATGTATAACTTTAACAGCGGACAACCGAATTTATCTTGTTGACTCTATAGAATCAAGACACACAGCTGAAAATCTGTTGAAATTAGCTGAATGTGCTACAAAAAAGTGTGAAGACAAATTTGGATGCACAGTAAGAAGCTGTGTAACAGATAATGCTGCTTATATGGCAAAAATGAGAAGTGAATTCGGACAAGATAAATCCATTATAACATATGGTTGCTCTGCACACCTGTTAAATTTGCTTTCACAAGGCCTGCAAATCAAGAACATTAAGGAGCACATTACTGAAATCATTAAGTACTTCAGATATCATCACATCCCAGGATCTTTGTATAGAAGAGCAGGAGGAACAATGCTAGTAATGCCATCAGACACACGATGGAACACAGTGACAGATTCTATTGAATCTTACTTAAAGAACTGGGAGACCCTTGTCAAAGTGTGCAAAGTAAATAGTGAAGACATTGAAAAGAAAATTGAAAGGAAAGTTAATGATAAGGCATTAAAAAGAACTGCAGAAGACTATTTAGAGACACTTAAGCCCACTGCTGTGGCATTGGACTGTGTCCAGAGAGAACATACCCTATTAAGTGATGCTGTACAAATCTGGGTAAAACTGAAAACTGATATTAAGGAGTATTTAACAGATAAGGAGGATATGGAAAATTTTGAAAAAAGAATCAAAGTAGCATTGACACCTGCCCATTTTCTAGCTAATGTGATGGATCCAAGGTATCAGAGCAGACATCTGACTCCTGAGCAGCGAGACATTGCAGAACAGTATGTGCGCGAGTCTCTTCCACATTTCCTTTCAACATTAATGTCCTTCCATGGAAAAAGTGCACCATTTAAAGAGGTCTATTTTGGTAAAGATGTTGTAAAATCTCTCTCACCCCTTGCTTGGTGGCAGTATTTTGCCAATGATATGACAGAAAATGTAATGGATGTTCCTAGGCAATTATTTACAGCTGTTGCATCATCAGCAGGGGTTGAGAGAATTTTTTCCACATATGGATTTGCACACTCAAAGGTAAGAAATCGCCTAGGACAGGAAAAGGCATCTAAGCTTGTCACAGTACATAAGCATTCCAATGTTCAACTAAGCTAATTTAAATGTTTTGAACTATTTTTGTTGTTTACAGAATGAGAATATTGTTTTGACTTGAAGTTATTACCGGTAATTCTTAATACACTATAATCCTACAAATGTAAGAAAATAAACTTGTTACCAGTACAGTATTATTTTTTTACAAAATGAGAATATTACATTCTGTTGACTTGAAGAAGTTAAGTTATTAATTTTTGAAACACTGTAATCCTATAAGAGCATTTATGTTAAATTTCATTATTACGTTTGGATTTGTGCACTCAAATGTAAGATATGTTACCAGTTTTCTTTTATTTTACAAAAAAAATATTATTGTGTTAAATTCCATTGGTACATCTACTGCATAAATATCTTAATGCCAATTTTCTATTTATTATCCTGAGTAAGCTTTGGTTGAAAAATACTGTTTTTATGGTTTAAAAATACTATTTTAATGCAATAAGTAAAAAAAATAAAAAAATCGATTTAAATAAAAAAAAATCTGATTTAAATCAAATAAATCATTTTATTTATTTATTATTTTTTAAATCATGATTTTTTCAAACCCTGGATTCCACCCTATCTAACAGTTGAACAGAAGAAGAGCCACCCCAGATATGAGAGCAGCACTCCAAGTTAGGACGAATGAATCCCTTATAAACTTGAAGCAACTGCTCTGGAGTGAAGTAGGTGCGGCATCAGTACAGCATTCCCAACTTTCAGGTGGCAACTTTAGCAATGTTGTGGATGTGTGGCTTCCTGACATATCAGGGGAAATGGTGAGGCCTAGCATATCTATTTTAGAATTTGGCAGAATGATAGCATCCTGAAATATGATTGGTGGGAGATCATCTAATTTGGAAAATGTAATTGGTAAATACTGAGTTTTATTACTATTGAATTTAACCAAGTTTCTACCTCCCCATTCGGAGATGCTGCTCAGATCCGGATTGGTAGATGTAATGATATCAGCTCTAGAAACAGATCTAGTTTGAGAATTAGGGGGAAGGGAAAATGTGAAGAAGAGTGAAGAGTAGAATCATCAGCGTAAGAATGGATAGAATTAGTCGTAGTGTGAAGTAAATCATTGATAAAAAGAAGGAAGAGAATTGGTGAAAAAACAGAACCCTGCAGGACATCACTATTGGTAGAGAAAGAGCGAGAGATCGATCCCTCAACAACAACTGCCATGGATCGGTTCTCAAGGAAAGCTAGAAATTAGAGAACAATGTGGGGGAGAGAAGTTTAGAAAGCAAAGACTTGTGCCATACCCTATCAAATGCTTTGGAGATGTCGAGGGCCACAACGAAAGTTTCCCCATAATCCCCTAAGAGAGGATGACCAAAGATGGTTGCAGTAGGAGAGCAGATCACCAGTAGATCTCGCCTGGCAAAAGCCATACTGGTGATCTGACAAAAGAGAAAAGTGTTCAAGGTGATGGGGAAAATGAGAGTTTTAAGATAGTTTAAAATTTTTTAGAGAGGGATGAAGTTGGGGCAATGGGGCGATAGTTAGAGGGATTGGAATGGTCACCCTTTTTGGGGATGGGCTGAACCAAGGCATGCTTCCAAGAAGAAGGAAAGGTTTGGGTTTTGAGGCAAAGGCAAAAGAGGCGAGCAAGCACAGGGGCCAGAATTTCAGCACACTCCTTCAGAACATGAGGGGGTATTCCGTCCGGTTTATCCAACCTGGATAAACACACCAGCAACCCTCCGAATGGAGATTATAGGAAAGTGCATAGGTTCAGTAGGAGGAGCAGGGGTAGGAGGGATAGAGTTGCAATCATCTAAGGTGGAGTTAGAGGAGAATAAGGTGCCAAAGAGATTGGCTTTATCAGGGGGAGAGTTGGCTACAGAGTTATCAGGTCAGAAGAGACGAGGAAAAGAGGGAGTGCAGAAGTTATTACAGATGTTTTTGGTTAAGGACTAGAACGATCTACTATGAGTTAGTCAGGTAAGCGGTCTTTTAATAAAATTCCACTTGGCCCTACGAAGAATAGTCTTACAACGATTCCTAGAGGTAATGAAAGAGGAGTGGGTAATAGGAGAAAGAGATAGTTTTATAACTTAATTGCCCTATCTCTCTCCCTACATGCAAGAGAACAGGAGCGATCAAACCATGATTGTAAAGTGAAAGTTTTGGTAGAAGATGGGATAAATGCACTCATACCACCCTGTATAACCCCAGAAATGCTGTCAGCATATACCGAGGCATCCCGTGTGGAAAAGCAACATTCATTCCAAGGAAAGTCGGAGAAGAATTCTCGCAAGAATTGCCAGTTTGCCCTCCGATAGTGCCATAGTTGGTGTTTAGAAGGGGGTGGGGGAGGTGGTCGTGCCCAGTTTGATATAATGGAAATAAGACTGATCAGAAGACCCTAAGGGGGCAGAAATTGAGTATGAATAGTGTGAGGAGTTAGAGGTAAAACAAAGATCAAGAATGTTACTAAGTTGATCATGTCAATCAGGAACACGTGTATGGCAAGGTTACTGAGAAGCTGTATTAGCCCTGTCTACTAGACAGTAGCATTTATATAAATATGGGTCAATAACTTTATACATTGGTGTTATATAATTATTCACCCTCGTGATTTTCCA